ATCTTACATGAAGTTATAAAAGCACATTGTAAGATTTTAGGTGATTGCCACAATGGCAGATAGAATCTGTGTTATAAAGTATTAAAATTGAGTGAGAAGAATAAGAGGCCTGGTAATAAGGAGAAAAGAATTAGATAATGGGATTATGATCCATTTCTTTCTTATTACTGGACAGATGCTCTTGGAAAAGAGAAAAAAGAGCTAGTAATCCAATCTAATCTCCTTGTAAGCATATTATAAATTGAACTTATTATTAAATAGACTAATGTTATTTGCTAGAAATAAAATACTCATTTATGAAAAATTTTATAGCAGGATGTCTTTGGTTTAGGATTGCTTATGGTAAACAACTCTCAAATTTATAGATTTATGAGGCATGGCTTCCTCAAAAAATATCATGTAAACTGTTCAATTATCTGGGTTTAAAAATGGCAATGTTTCATAACTTAAATTCTCCAGGAAATATGAGGTACCTCACATATGTCGATTAGTTCATCTGTCACTCACAGCTAAACAATCCACAATAGACAGGTAAAAAAATGGGGAGGCATACTCTTTTTATGAAATCTTTTCCTGTTTAGTCTGTATCTTTGACTGTTTTTAATTTAAAAATCATTAGTAAGCATGATACTGGATAAGATCTACAATTCACATGAGTCTATTTTTATAATACGATCCTTTGTCATAGGCTCAATCAGGAAATGAAACAAGCGCTTAACTCTCAGTTTATTTCACAACTAGGAAAGCATCCTTTCAACTTGTTTAGATTTTAGAAAGTGAGTGTTCCTTGACTTCTATTAACCTTATTCTTTCTCTTGACCCTCATTAGTCTCCGTTTAAGGTGTTACATGTTTCTTTTCTTGGGAACATACAATTTGTACACTTAGAATCTATCAGTTCTTTTTTCTCTCCTGGTGTCTTATCCATTCATCAGCCTGAGGCATGCAGTCATTTTATCCTCTACCATTTTCCTCTTTGGTGAGGATGAATAAGTTCTGAACTGTGAGTCTACTGGTACCACTTGTGATGGGGGAAATGAGACAGAAGGAATTCTGTGGCCATGTGTGTACTCTTGGGCTTACATAAAGAACAAAAGGCTTTCATTCTAGGCTTTGGCTGATTTCCTTTCAACAAATTTGAAATCAAACACAAATATTTACTAAAAAGATTAAATTCTACATTAATTTCTAAATTAATTTCTAAAGAGGTTCCTACTTAAGTGAGAAATTTATTTTCAGCAAACTAAAAACAATTTAAAAAAATAAAATAAAATACTTGATTTTATTTTCTAAGAAGACTTGGGTCCTTTCTTTCCCTTAGGTTTCATAAAAGTAGTTCTTTACCAAAACTAAAATGAAAAGTCACCAAATCCAAAGTACTTGAGGCTGGGGTATTAAAGTCTTTCTCTACTCACAGTACTTCAGACACAAAATGTATGGGTTTTCCACATGTAAAATTTTTCCAATTCTCTGCAGACACGAATTGAATATTCTACAATTTAATGCTGATACTAACAAGACTACCCCCCACTTCAGATGCCAATCACATGTAGTGGTTCCTCAGACTACCCAGACTTCTTTCTAACTTGGCTGCAAATCATGTGCTCCTGTGACCCTCACCTCAGATTTGATAATTTGATATAATCGTTCATGGAACTCAGGGAAATGCTTTACTAGTTTTGCCAGTTGCTGTAAAGTATGGTATTACTGATATAAAGAAAGAGCCAGAAAAAGAGATACATAGGACAAGGTCCTGAAATGTCTTGAACATGAGAGCTTCTGTCCCCTAACAAATATATGCATTCACCAACCCAGAAGTTCTCCAAATCCTGTCATGCAAGGTTTTTATGGAGGTTCCATTGTGTAGACATGATCGATTTAATCATTGGTCATTGGTGATTAACTCAATCTCCAAGGCATCTTCCCTCTCTGGAGGTCAAGAAGGTGGGACAGAAAGTTCCAATCCTTAACCACTTGGTTGTTCTCTCTGGCGGCCAGCCCCCATACTGAAGCTATCTAGGAATCCATCAAGAGTCACTTCATCAATATAAATTTTAGTGATGTGGAAAGGGGCTTGTTATAAATCATAAAAGATGCTTCTTTCATCCTTATCACTCAGCAAATTACAAGAGTTTTAAAAGCTCTGTCAACAACTAGAGTCAAAAACCAAATATGTATTTCTAATTCTATTACAATATTATAGTGGGTATGTCACTTAATCTTCTCAGGCTGTATCCTGATCTTCAAAGTGGAAAGAAGAATGCCTACCCAGCCTGACTTACAGAGTTTTCTGAAGGACAAGTGAGAAAATGTACATAAAAGCTCCTTGAAAACCAAACAGTGCTTTCAAAATGTAATGGTTATGGCTATATCCATGAAGTTACTGTCAACTGCAGAATGTCCTACCCCTTTATAATAGGATATGGTGAATTAAAATTTCCAGTTCCATGTTAAATGGAAATCCAAAGCAGTCCTTAGGATTTCTGAGGTGCCTGAAACTGACCGCCTTCTTGACTCTTGGGAAGACAGCCCATTTTGTTTCACATCACAAAGCACTGGCCTCTTTTCATTTTTTTACAAAGCCAAATAGTAAACCAAGTCATACAGAGCATTCATGAGTGTACTAGGTTTTATTAAACATTTAGTTGAGATGATCTCCTAAACAGGAAAAAGTTTTCATTGTAGTAATCAAATTACTTAAAATTTAGCACCATTCAGCCCTGGTCCTTAAGTGCTCTGTTCTGAGTACACAGTAAAGATGAAACCACTGATTATTTCTCCGTATAGTCCTATATTTTACAACTCTCTCTGGATCTATTATTTCCTTCATCTTCTTTCATGGCCTCTTTTCTCTCCTTAAACATCTCAAAAGCAAAATAAATTGATCTCCTACTCTCATAAAGAATACCTTGCCCATATTGAACAAGAGGTATATTAATGTATTTTCTAAACAAACGCATTTCTTTCTCAAAAAAATCATTGCACTAAATGTTAAGAAAATATTTGTTAAATTTTTATACTCAATAACAAATTGAAAACTACAATTTTTCTGACATTTTCTAATCCTCACAATAACTCTGTTAAGGAAATTATTATCCTCGTTTTTCTTTTGAGGTCACTGAGTCGCAAAGATGAAATTACTTGCTATATATCTGAAAACCAGTAAATGAGAGAGAACATTTTAATGCTAAACAGCCTGATTCCTAGTCTTTGCAGCTAATAATTGATTATCTGCCATAATTTGTTGGACTTTTAATAGATTTTAGAATGAAAATAAAATTTTGATCACAAAGATGAATTAAATATAATATTTATAGAGCAGATAACAATTCATTAGATCCATTTCAGATGAAGAAGATGTGTAGTGCACACAAGAAATATTTCTTAGTGCCTTCACCACACCTATAAATACATTTTTACCACATGTTTTTGACAGGGGACCCGGACATGGGATAGAGTGCTTGTGCTCTATTTAAAACAGCCATAGGAGCATATAGCAAGGACTCATGGACAAAACCAAAGGGGAAGAGCTGAGGGAGGGAAGGTGGGAGGGGGCAAGGGAAAGAGGTGGGGGGGGGAGGCAGAGACAAATGTATTTAAAAAGTAAATAAAAAAAATTAAAATAAAAAAAATAAAATAAAATAAAACAGCCATAGGAGTTTTTTCATTCAGTCCTGTACATTGCTTACCTCTAAGAAAGATTGTCCAGTGCTTAATTTATAAGAAATTTAAGGATTTTTAAAAATTTTCCCAAATTTAATATCAGTTTCAAACATTACTAATAAAATTAAATCTTTTCTTTTTGTTTTATTTTTTAAAAAATTGAATGATCCTCCTGGAGTATAGACATATCTGATCTTGACAATTATGGCATTTAGGTCTTAAAATGCTTAGGTAAAATTTCCTGTTTGTGTGTGTGTGTGTGTGTGTACATGTGTGCTGAGAGTTTATGTTAAATTTTAAAGGATAAAAACGTTGAGTTAAAATTTCAGTTGCATAATTGCTTTGATGTTTAATTTGTTCAACTACTTATTTTTTCCTACTTGATCTAAGCTGCATGCTCAACTAAAGCATAGATCTTCCCTTGTAGATACATGTGCTAGAGTCAGTGATGAAATGAAGGACAAATGTATAGATTTTTTCATCTGAGAGTAAAAAAAAACAATTGAAACATTTTAACAAAAATCTTCATGTACATTTCCTTTTACTGGTCAAAAATTTACACAAGATATAGAGCTTTATACTTAATTCATCTGAATTTTAAACTTATTGAAATAATGATGTTTATGCAGAAAAATCTATAATGAAGATTGACTTTTCAACCACCAGCCCTACAATAGTGTCATTAAACTGGACCCTGGTGAATATCATTTATGTGGAGTGTCTAGATAATGCATATAGTCAATGACAGATGTATGCTTTAAAGTAAGAGTTTACTAGTAACTAATAAGTTTTCAAAGCAGTAAAAATTAGTGTATGATGAATAACTTCTGAGGTAAGGGCATACTTCACAACTGGAACCCAGAGAAGTTGTATATTTTTTAGCTCACAAAAGGCATTTCAGATATCAACAAACAGTACTGCTTTTAATGTTTTTATATAACTTGTGTGCTCACAAGTTCTCTTCAAAACATAAAACTCTTTATATTTAATAAAGGGAGACCTTATAGAAAAAAAGAGCTTCATGTTAAAACTAATGAAATAAATTCCAGGACTATTAAAGAGAAAAGAATGTTCCCATCCATCAGATTTATCATATTCTATTTCTAGAGCTTTAGAAAAATCAAAGAATTTTCACTGGAAACATTCTTTATTTTTTAAATTTTATTTTAATTTATTTTTTCAAATACATTTATCTCTGCCTCCCCCCCACCACTTTCCCTTGCCCCCTCCCTCCTTCCCTCCCTCAGCTCTTCCCCTTTGGTTTTGTCCAAGAGTCCTTGCTATGTGTTCCTTGACTTTCCCCTTCCCTTCCTTTTCCCCGTCCCCCTCCCTCCTTCCGTCTTCTCTGTTGGTTCACATATACTAAAATTGGAACGATACAGAGAAGATTAGCATGGCCCCTGAGCAAGGAAACATTCTTAACAAAATGAAAAGATGTTCTGCATAAATGAAAATTGTGTAAATTTCTTTGGTAGTTTTTCTGTCATTAACATTTCCAAGCAGCTTGCTTGTTTTATAAGGTATAAATTTAAATTAAAACAAATAATTAGAAGAGAAGATTATTTTAGATGATCATGGAATAGAAGTTAGCTTCCATTTATATTTTATCCATGTTCTAATCCCCATTTATTCATATAGATAATTGATAACTAAATCAATATACAGGTTATATAATATGAGAATAGAAGTTTCTGGTTCACAACAGTATTTCAAATATTTATATTTCTATGTTGGTAACAGAACTTCATTTGTTTTACTAGAGACTTTTAATGTAAATATATTTTGAGAATCTATAAAGGTATTACAATATGGATAGAAATTAGGACTATTGCTATAAATAAGGTTCAGAGTAATTAACTTACAAAAGGAGAAATTTTCCTTTTAGATAACTTTTATTTTTGGAGCCTTGTTTTATTTTTCAATGGAAGTGTAAATCACTTTTATGCCTCATTGGCAGAAGTACATCTCAACCAGGTTTTCCATAAAAGATCAATTAAGCATTATAACATCATGTTATGAGCAGTGTTTCATTATCTAAAAGACGGTTTAAACAAATAAACCACTTGAAAGAATAGATATAGCACCCTCTGTTTCTTGATCAATACAGCTAAAGATCTTAGTAAGTAGGTATTTCACAGACATTTTTCTATGAATAAATGGATATAATTAGGCTGCAGTGTTTTGTAGGTAAACTGAAACATAATGGTGCAACAGAAATCACCAGATTTTGTAAAAATGTTACAGTTCTTTACATGGTATTTGAAGTATTCCACCTTTAGAGAAACCAGATGACATTCTGGAACCAGAGTTTGTAATCTCATGGGAGATTTATTTGTTTGTTAGTTAAAGATTGAACTTTAAGTGTGGAATGGAAATGTTAATTATTGCCACACATGAGATAGGAGATTTAAGTGACTGTATTACTTAATACAGTATGTGGTGTCCATATTTTTCAGGTATATCAAGTGTCTACTGTTTCTAACATAAAATTATAGTTACATTAATTCAATATTATCAATTAATAACCACATGTGTGGTAACGCAACATATAGAAGGTATGGTTCTGTGATACTAAAGCAAGAAATCTAGCTCAGCACTGCTCACTTCTGCAGACCTTTAGAAAGCATGGTGCATTCATTGTTTTTTATCATTCAGTGAAAATTTTCAACCTGCTCCAGTTTAGGCTGTAGGAGTACTCTTTTTATGAGACTGTCAAAAGTTACTAAGTTTAGGTGGTTCTTCTCTTGGTAAAGGGAGACAGTATATGACCAAAGATGTCATAATTCTCTCTCAATACTCTTTTGAGAATAAGATTGTTTGTTTGTTCATTTGTTTGTTTGTTTGTTTGGAGGGCTGGAGGTGCGAAGGACTGCATTTGAATGTGCTTTGTGTTGGGTTTTACAGTGGTAGTGCAGGGTAGAGAGTAAAAACAAAACCATCGGTTCCTAATGTACGTACAGTCTGTTCTTACACAGGTGACTTAACTTTTCCTTTATCAGTTTGTTCATCTCTAAAAGAGAGATAATATATCTTATGGTATTGTCATAAAGATAATAAGGGGATAATGTAGTTTGTGTACAATGCTTAAAGTAATGCTTGACACTAGTAAACACTTTACAATTATTAATATTTTAAATTTTATTCCAACTTACATAATCTGTGGGATAGTTTTAATGAAATTTTTGTACTATGTAATTCTTAAAACGATGACAGAATAATTGATAAATTATATATTTTAAAGAGCAGGTTTTTAAAGAGGTATGGAGAGTTTAACTTATTTTTATAGAAAATAATACATACATATACTTTATATGCCAAAGAAAAGTCTGGAATTATATTGACTAGATATTAATGATGATTGTATATAAATGGGTAGAATATTTTAATATGCAATATATTTTAGTATACAAATGTAACTTTCATGATAAATTTATCATATTAAAAACAAGTTAATGGAGAGAATGTTAAGCAGCTTTTCTAAAGGAATTCCAAATAAGTGAGGTTCTTTTCTTTCAAAGTTCCTCACTGGCAAGCAGAGTAGACATCAGGCATTAAAGTTACAAATAATAATTTAAAAAAACTTGAAATCCTGTAGCAATATGACCTTCAGCCTTCCCCATTTAGTACATGGTAAATCTACAATATGAAGGCAAAGTGATTTATTATCAATTCAAAAAGCAGCAATTATGATTTGCATTTAAAAACCTTACTTAATAACTTCTTGATTTGCATTAATCTTCATACTTTCTTTTAGATCTTGGGCCAGTGGATTTGTGCTAATATGCAGAAATAAATTGAATGTATTGCATAGATAATAGTCATTACAAGATTGTTTGCTTGTTTCCTTTGCGTATACCCATTTATAGATGTTAAGTAGAATCATGAAAAAATGCCTTGCGGATGATCCCAAAATATCAATTGAAAGAAGTAATATATTTTATTAAATAATAGGCAAATGTGTTATGAGTTGTATCAAACCATATACTCAGTGGCATCTCTTTAATTAAAATACTCTTAAGACATGTATTAATATCTAGAAACAATTTATTCTGGGGAAAGAGTAAATACAGATATCAAATCAGTAGCTGAAAATTACAATGCAATAATAGTTGTGCTTTTTTTGTTTGTTTTCTGCTGTTACCATCTTTCCAGGGAACTTCACTGAGTTCCAAGGAATGGTATAGGTATATTTTTATCCTTAGCTGAACCCCAGACTTACCAGTTTCTGCTAGCTCTTTTTCTTTGTTTTTGGTGACCCCTCTTTAAATTGTAGGAGCCAAATTTCCTGGTTTTCACAAACTGCGCAGAGCTTAGAAACAAATCACTGTCTCTAGATCACGGGGAACTGAGGGATCACTAGCACACTGCTCCTTTTTTGCTCTCCCACGATGTGGTGCCACCATATTTTGTTCACGTAGAACACCAACTGTTTTGATAATAAATCCTGTTCTGTGGATTATTCATTTTGAAGGTCAGCCAAATAAACCTCATTTAATTACTCAGTGCTGGCACTTCAACCCCTATGAATTATGTAATATAACATAAATAAAGAGCAAAATGTTGACTTCTGGTTGCTAATAATTTAGGCATGTATTTCAACAGGAGTTTTTCTGAGAATATTCCCTACCAAAATTTGTTTTCTTTAGCTAGTATAATATAGTGTGTTGACAATCAATGCAAACCTGGCCATAGGAATAATGTGTGTTTCCTCCTTTTGATCAAAAAATATAAATATGAAACATATACAAAAGAATTATCTCCTATTAACTCTTGCTTTTTCAGACAATTATTAAATAACTCTAAGTATTAGATAAGAATTAACATAACATTACTAGATAATGTATATAAATAACATTCTCTATTTAGAAAATATTACTCCCATGTAATTTTTCTCTTGCTCTTTCTGAGAAAGATTAATTGTTTCATATGAGTTAGTCATTGTGCTGGACATTGAGAAAGAAAAATAAAAACTATAAGATGCCTGAATTATAAGTGTTCAAAGTCTGGGTAGAGAGTTGATCATTCACAACTTAATTACATTGCAATTTGATAAAGACTGAAGTAGTGATGTGAATTGCATATTATGTTAGTATATGTGATCATGCAGAAAAACTCTGTAGAGTTATGAAGCACTTCATAGAAAAAGTGATATTTCAATTCCAAGTAATTTTGGTTCTACCTTAGAACATGGTTTTTCTCACCATCTGCATTGCTACCATCACCATCTTAGATGTCATCAGGTGTTGACTAGGCTCACATTATAGCCCCTCAATTGGTCTTCCTGGCTTACTCATGCCTCTGGAGCCTTTTTCATGAAGCAAAATGACCCTCTTAAGAAAATAAGCCATATATCAGTCTCCCAAGTGAGCAAAGTAATTTATGTTTCATAGCTGCTCAATATCTGTAGAATGAATGATTGAGCAGGAATTTGCCACTGAGCCAATTAGAGGACATATTAAGCTAGTGGAAACACATAGCACAAATGGGACTTGTGAAAGTAGGTCAAATTTAAAAATGTATCACACCACATGACATGATCATTGACTGGTTCAAATAAACCTCCAACTGAACCATCAGAGCAGTAAATACCAGCTGAATATCAACTGAGTTGAGCAGCATAATGTCTTTGTCTGATAAGAACAAGTTATTTTAGGTGGAGTTTAAGTAAACGGTAGGCAATAGAAAAAGATGAATGGTGAAGGAGAATCATTCCCAAGTTTGGAGATCCCTGTAGGAAATATTAAGAGATCAAGAGACCTGATTAGTAGCCATTTTCCTGTTATCCAGAAGGCTAACGGATTTTCACTTTTAAAAAATTGCTCTGCATTTTCATATGTTCAAAATGTTCTTAACAGGAACACAAATCAGATAAAATTCTCAGTGGGTACAGCTAGTTATGGCTTGAAAGTCATGCTTTCTCTGCTTGGACTGACAGTAACAGACACCCACCATGAACAGGCTTAAGAAAAAAAATAAACCATTTTTATAAGACATTGGGTGCCTTCATAGGACTCAAGGACAGCGATGAAGTTGTAGCTCTGAACCAATTGAAAATATAGCACCAATTCTCTCTCTCTGTATTTTTTCTCACAGCTAGTCTGCTTCATCTTTTACCTCCAGATAAACTATTTTCTAGGATGATAGCATAAAAATAGTACCCCAAAACTCTCTTGGGTTTTTACGTCATCTCTCCAAACGGAGTCAGAAACCCCAACTTCAAAATTATGGTCCTGGAACATGTCACTGATTGGCTCAGGCATATTACATTCCTGATCCTGGACCTGTTATATATTGGAAGTAATGCCAGATGGATCAGAATAGGTATCCTATCTGGCTAGACAGTGTAGGAAGCAGGGTTACATTTTACAAGTCTATAATGTTGAAGTTTCAATCATAACCTCCCAGAAATGAGCTGACATAGGTATCTACTATAAGGGTACA